CTGCAACCCTTAGAGAGAAGAACTGGGTTTTCCCATCGTGGTTTACACCTGAGTTCTTCACAAAGCAAGTCTTCAACAAGCTGGACTTTCAGGTGCCTTGGGAGAGAGCTCACTGGCACTGTCCCCACACCTCAGGGACAGCTGCCACCCCCTCTGCTGCTCTAACAGGAACCCTATCAGCCCTCTGCACTTCCTGGGGTCCACTTCGGGTGAGCATCTTCCAAGGGCTCCCACACACTTCCAGCTGCATTCACCACACACACAAACACACACACACACACACACACACACACACACACACCTGGCACCCTGCTGGGTGATGACCCTGCAAGGTTCATGCTCATCCTGCCCTAAACATCCAGCCTGAACCACCCTTTGGTGGAGACAACATCCAGGGACATGTCCATCGGCCTGAAGACAGCCCACCCGATGACCTCTGTGCATGCATCCCCTGAGAATACCGAAGAGACGACAGAACTCCAAATCCTACCAACGAGGGCTACCTTTTCCCATGGTAAAGCACTTCCCTAGCATGTTCAAGGCCCTGGCTTCCAGTCTCAGCACTAAATATAAGTAAATACATACACAGGTCTGCAGCCTTTCAGCTGCAGCCGTGTTACATACACTGTCGAGCATGGTGCAGATGATCTTTGCATAGCAAGTGTTGCTGTCTCTGCTGGCCACCATCCATTCAAGTGGCCAGAACAAGGTATGATACACCTGGTGAGGAGAAGAGGGAGAGAAAGACCAAGGTTAACATCCATGAAGACTGCTCCTTGCCATGCTCTTTCATTCTGCAAAGACAGTGGTCTTCACACAACCTGCAGGGATTTAAAGGTCCATGGTGCTGACTTGAGGTCTGGGATGGGAGCATCTGAGCCACAGCTCCCGAAACGTCACCTGCACAAGTGCCCCGACTTTGTCTCACTTGGCTGTCAGTACAAAAAACAACCCTAAGAACTGAATTCAATTTCGGAACATTTATAGAGCACTGCCAGTCAACGGCAGCACACTAGACCCAGGGTGGGGG